TTGAGCTGTTTACCTATTGAAGGATATTTTGGTTGTTTCCACTTTTTGGCTATGACAAATAAGGATATCCTCTTTGGTGAAATTTCTTTTCATATAAAGCATTCAGCCTTTTACCATTAAGTATGGTCTTAGCTGTAGGTTTTTGATTGATGTTCTTTATTTATTTGAGCAAGTTCTCCTCTATTCCTTGTTTTCTGAGAGTTTTTTTTATCATGAATTTTTTTTTTGCTCCAATGAATAGAATCATGTGTTTTTTTCTCCTTTAACTTGGGAATATGATAGGTTACTTTGATTTTCAATATTCAACCAGCCTTGCATTTCAGGAATAAACCCCATTTGGTCAGAGTGTATAATTTGTTTCATATGTTGCTGAATTATATTTGCTAATATTTTGTTAAGGATTTCTGTGTCTATATTCATGAGGGATGTTGGTCAGCATTTTCTTGTTTGCCATTTTCTTTTGTATTTTCTCTTTATTCCCTCTGTTTTTTATTTCTCTGTTTTCTTGCCTTCCTATGGGTTATTTGGAAATTTTTTTAGAATTGCATCTTGATTCATTTGTAGTGTTTTTCAGTATATTTCTTTGCAAAATTTTCTTTTAGTGGTTGCTCTATGTAATATATTACAAATGCACAACTTAATACATCCAACTGGTGCTGGTATTTTATTAGAGTGAAATGTGGAAAGCTTACACACTTTATTTTAACTTTCCCTATTTATAATGTAATTGTCTTAAATATTTCTTCTATATATGTTGAAAAGCACATCAGAAAATATATAGTTTTTGCTTCAAACATAATTTAGAAAACTCAAGAGGAGAAGGAAAGTCCATTGTATTTACCCTTAATTTTACTTACCATATTCTTTATTCCTTCTTGATATTTCCAGGTTCCTTCTTTTTTGTTTCCTTTTTGTTTTTAGAACTTCCTCTAGTTGTTCTTTTAGAGTAGGTCTGCTGGTGACAAATTCTTAGTTTCTTTTTATCTGAGAATATCTTTATTTTTCAATCAGACCTGAAAGATAATTTTACCATATTTAGAATTCAGGGTTGACATTTCTTTTATTTCAGCAATTGAAAAACATTGTGTCACTTCCTTCTGGCCTCCAAGGTTTCTGATGAGAAATCCACTGTCATTCAAATTGTTTTTTCCCATTAGGTAAGGTGTTATTTCTTTCTTGCTGCTTTCAAGACAGTTTGTCTTTCATTTTTGGTTTGATTATGATGTGTCTTGGAACAGATTTCTTGGCATATTTCTTCTTTGGGGGTTTATGTAGTTTCTTGAATCAGTAGGCTTACTTACATGATTTGTAAATCATGTAAATTTGGGAAATTTTCAGTCATTATTTCTTCAAATACTTTTCCAGTCCCATCTTCTTTGTCCTCTCCTTCTGAGACTGCAATGACATGAATCTTTTGTTATAATCCCTCAAGTCCCTGAGGCTCTATTTGTTTTATTTTATTCTTTTAGTATATTTTCTCTCTGTTTTTCAGATTGGGTAATTTCTGTTGTTCTTTTTCGAGTTCATTGTTGTTCCTCTGTCCTCACCACTCAGCAGTTGAACCCATCTATTTGCTTGTTTAATTTCAGTTATTTTTCAAAAAGTTCTAAAGTTTCCATTTGGTTCTTTTTGTGTCTTCTATTACTTTTTCTAGAAATAGAAAGCCCAGCAATAAATTTTTGTACTGCGACTAAAGGATGGATATTTTATTTTCTTAGTTCTGCCCTTTGAAGCTACACACAATAGAATATTAAGTGATAAGTATTATTAGCTACATATTAATAGTCCTAGAAGTTGAGGACTATTTTCTATATGTTTTACATTGATTACCATATTTCTTTTATTAATGCTGATTTTTACTCATTCAGCAAATGTTTACTGAATGTCTACCATATATGATACTCTATTTTTGTCAGTCAAATATATTTGCTTTAGTGTCAAATAGTTAAACATCTGATTTCCGTTATTTATAGAGGAAAGAACTACATTACCACTTTTTTGATAGGTTGCAAGCATAGGGAGAGAAGAGAGATTTTGAGCTGAAATCTCACAACTTTGCAAATAAACCAGCCAAGAATTTTCATTTACAGTCTCCATACTATATTTTATCCAACTCAAAGATTTGTCAATGCTTTGTTGTGGAACAATAATGTATTTTGAAAGGGTTATGGATTTTTTTGAGCTACAAATACCGTCAGCTTTTTTTTGGGTTGCCATAAAATTATAATTGTCTATTTTTGCCATGGAAAAGATTGGGAAGCACAGCTTTAGTTCACAGATTAATGACTGGGATTTCTTTTTCCTATAAATTGAATTTTGTGTACGTCAGCACAACTTCATTATCCTTTACAAATAAACTTCTTAAAAGAATTGTTTCCAGTGGTTCTCAAACATTAGCGAGACCATAATCACCTGGTGTGCTTGTTAAAATCCAGATTGCTAGGCCTCACCTACAGAATTTTTGATTGATTTAAGTCTAAGGTGGTGCCTACAAATTTGCATTTCCCACAAGTTTCCAGATGATGTTGATCATGCTGTTTTGGGGATTTCACTTTGTGAACTATTCATCTACACACAATTTTTCTACTTCCTATCTCTCTTTGACTCTTTAGTTACTTCAATCTGACTTTAATTTTCATCGTTCTATCCAGAGTGCTTTTTCTAATATCCTTCCTGATCTTCGTGTTGCCAAATCAAACACAGCCTTTTCAGTTCCTTATCTTACCTGATGTGTAGATATCATTCAATACAGTTGATTTCTCCTCTTGTGTAGGAAACTCTCTTCTATTTGGTTTGGAGAGCTCCATCTCCCACCCTCCTTCTTTTCTTTCTCTGCATGTTCTTTCTCAGTTCTGTCTCTCTCTTTTTCTCAAATCAAACTCTAAATGTTGGAATTCAATCTGGGTCCTCTTCATATCTTTCTTTACCCTCTGTTCCTAAAACATCTACGTACTCCTGTCTGTATGTTAATAATTCCCAATTTATTTCTCCAGCTCAAACCTTCCTTTTAAGCTTTATTACAGCTTAACCACTTGATTTCTTATATGCTCACTTGAATAACTTACAGTTGTTTCAAATAATATATCCAAAATCAATCACCATGTTTAATAAATTCTAAGATGCATTTTTTATCATTTTAATATCTATGAATCTTACAGTCAGTGACATCTTAGATTCTATGAAATAGAGTAATTCCTTCCTACTCCTTCCTTAATGAAAAGTGCTCTTTCTCCAGTCTTCTCCCTCTCATAAATCGTCTTTTCTTCCATTCAGTTGTTAGTCCCAGAAACCTAGGAGTTATCCTTGACTCTTCAGTCTTTCTTAACACTCTTATTTCTACCTCCCAAATATCTCCCAGTTGCCTCTTGTCTTACCATGTCTATTGCCATCACCTTTGCTCAAGTCATAATCGCCTGTCCCTTTTGCGAATGCGTTTTAACTCTGATATCGTCCAACCAATCTCTATTTAGTACTTAGGTTCATCTTTTAAAAATGTAAACCAGTTCATGTCACCATCTTGCTTAAAATCCTTCAATGAATGAAATTCATAACCTTCAATATGGTATAAAAAGGCCCCTCTAACCTAGTTTACGCCCCCTCCCCAGTCTTAGTTAGCCATGTATTCTCCCTCATTCTTTTTGGTTGAGACGCACTGGTGTTCAGTCAGTTCTTTTACAGTACCATGTTGTTATTTCTTCCTGGAATGCTCTTTCCAGCTGCCTATTTCCTTACTTGTCCTTTAGGTTACATATTTCAATTCTCATCTTAAACATCACTTCTTTAGAATTGATTCTTGACCCCAAATTTTAAATTAGATCCTGTTATACTCTTTCAGTGTTTTGTACTCTTCTAATCGACGTGGATGATTTACTGTGTTTATCTCCACTCTGTTTTATGTCTCATTATTTTACCTCTTACACTAGAGCTTAGCACAGTGCATCGCAAATAGAAGGTGTTTAGTAAATGTTTTTAAATAAATGAACGTTCAAATAGAGCTTAAAAAGATATATGTGCACTAAAAATAAATTCTTTTTTCAGATATAAGGCAAATAAGGAGCCCAAAACTTTGGGAAATCGATATTCATTCTCAGTTGCCAACTACATTAATTGTCTGACAAAATTATTTTAAAAGAAAATTTATTTTTTATGACAATGCAATTTCTGAAAAAAGTTGAAAAATTATTTCAAAGTAATATTAAGTAGTTCGTGATATTTAAGTAAAGTTTATTTTTACTAATAGAAATTGAATAAATCTGTTTTGTCATTTTTATACATAATTAATTTTTTGTGTAATCAATTCTTTTTAACTCCCCGAACTTTTTAGGAGGTTTCAGCATTTATAAAGAATATCATATTGTATTTCAGGAAGTACAGTTTAATTATCTTGGCTTTTTATTATAGTGGTATTGGCGAGCTGCTGTTTAATTTTTAAAATGCTCTTTTGTCTTTGGAGAACAAACTCATGTCTGTAGGCCGGAAAGAAGAAAACAGCATGAGTAACAGACATAGCTAATAGTCTTTTTCTTTTTCAGAATATATAATTTTTTCATTTCTATTCCTGTGTGTTATTAGCCTTTCTCTTCTTGCAGGACTTTTGTTCTATAGGGTCTGTCTAGAGTATAAAGACTTTATACTCTGCATTCCATAAATTTCACTCATTTGGAATCTTAGCTTTCTGTTGGTATGTACAGTGAGTGCTACAGATGAAGTTCTTGAAACCAGACAGGATCATACAGTTTAAAATGTTTGTAATGTCTTTGTCTGTCCTTTCTTTCGCTGTCTCCTTTACTGCACTCTTTGTCTGTCTGACTCTCACAGGAGACATGGATTACAACTGGTTGGACCATACGTCTTGGCATAGCAGTGAGGCATCCCCAATGTCTTTGGTGAGACATGTGGAGCCTTACTATTTACTTTCCGTTATCATTTCACTTTTCCTTTTTTTATTTATACCTTTGCATGTTTTCTTTTCTGTATTTTTTTTTATCCCACACCTGTAGGGGACAGTCAAAAGGGAAAAAGAAAAACTAGAGAGCAGGCAGTTTTGTCGGACTCTAACACCAGGTCTGAGAAACAAAAGAAAATGATGTACTTTGGTGGCCACTCTTTGGAAGAGGATTTGGAATGGTCTGAGCCTCAGATTAAGGACTCTGGGGTAGATACCTGTAGTAGCACAACCCTTAACGAGGAGCATAGCCATAGTGATAAGGTACTGAGATTGTGGAGCCTGCCTTTTAACCTGCTCATTTGGTCTTCGTTTGCTCTCTGTCACTCATTCAAACGGAACATAATAAAAGGACAGGACATTTCAAGGGTCAATGTAGCATTTCTTAAGGTGCAGAAAAGAAAAACAAAACCAAAACAAACAAACCAAAATACTTCTTGCTTGCTTTGCTGTTTTTGTTGTTTGACGGCATACCAAAAAAATAAATGAAATAAAAAATTAGGAACAAAGGAATGTTTTGTCTATGGTCGCATGAGAGAACTTTGTAATGTTAATATAAATCACAAATATAAAGAATTTTTTGGATTGGCTTATTTGATTGCTTGCATATATTTTCCTTGGGATGAAAATTAAATTATTAACAGTTTGAATCCCAGGCAAAAGGGAGATAATTGGGTCTGTTTGCACAGAAAAAGTTGTTTTTCTTTTTTCCCTTTCACTGTCATTTTGCTCTTTTGTTTTATTGTCATAGCATTATAATGTAGTAGTAATTAGTATTAGAACCATTGCCATTTGCTTGGGTATTTATTATTTTTGCTTTGAGTGTAGTGAGACTTTTGAAAATTTTTACCATATAGATGTGATTGACTGGAACTTGTCTTTTGCCTGCTAAATTTTGCATGAAGATGTGCATGTTCCTTTTAGATAACTGTGAAACTGTGATTACACAAATCACTTACTTTGTTATTTGACATATAATTCGTAATGGAATGGTATCATGAGTTATAAATGACTTGGTTATGCCCTGAGAAAGAGATAAATTCCTAATATTTTCAAGGTTATTTAATAATGAATACCATTGGATTATCTAATAAAATTAATTTACTAAATAGATCAAAGACCTGAAAGCATCAATCGATGAACTTCCAAAAAGTGACAAGTATAATCTATCCTGACCTTTGAATTAGGCCTATTTCTCCCGTACAGATTCAGTTGAAAGTTATTGGGGCTTATGTATTTTTTATAATTTTAATCTAGGAACCTATTTCAAGAAAACCCTCATCATAGACTCAAATTTTATGCTTTAATATAATTTGACCTTTTAACTTTTACTCGAGTCTTACTTTATTAGAGTAAATTCTTTTTACTCTAGAGAAGATTAAATTCTCATTTTTAAATGAGTTCAGTTGCATAGAATTTCAATCTATCTTTTCTGCCTGTGAATTTTTAGTTAATCTCCAGCATATAGCTAATTAAATTAGTTTGCATGTATTTTAAGTTTTTTAGATTTTGTAGGATTACATATATAACTTCAGTATTATGTCAGAGCACTGTAAGAATTTGAAGCAATTGGACTTTGAAAAAAATTGAGATTATAAAATTGAGGTTATAAGCATAATGTAGTAAGCCCTTTTGATCACTGTTTTGAATGCAAACTGGTTTGTGTAATCATAACACTTCGGAAATCTGAAGTTTAGAGAGATTGTACGATAAGGGGTCATTTGTCATAAAAGAACATTAATTTTTTTGTTTGTCGATGTAATATGTCAGCACCCTGTGACGTGGCAGCCATCTAAAGATGGAGATCGTTTAATTGGTCGCATTTTATTAAATAAGCGTCTAAAAGATGGAAGTGTACCTCGAGATTCAGGAGCAATGCTTGGCTTGAAGGTATGTGATGAAATACATGAGATTTTGGTTCTATACTCCTTTCAGATGTATCAGAAAAGCAAATGATATAGTAACTCTTTTTATTACACCAATTTAGTGAGGTTTCTTTTAAGTTTCAAGACTTTCCAAATATTTGCACTCATTATCCAAAACTTTTTCATTTTCCAAGTATTATTTAGGAAGTTGCCATTATTCTACAATAATACTTGTATATATAATTTTGGAAAATATAGTTTGAGTTATATACTTGAATTCTAAATACAGCACTCAAACTTATTTTACTATACGGTTTGTCCATTTAGTCTGTATCTGTTTATAGTCTATTAAAATCATAGTTTTATTCGGTTACTAAATATGCAAATGTGGGAAATGTAATATATGTATTTCATAAGGATATAATTTCTGTATTAGTGTAGCAAAATGTGTGTCTGTGTGTGTATTTGTGTATATGTGCATGTGTGAGAGAGAGAAAGAGAGACTACTGTTTGAAGTCTGGAAACTCACTTATGTGAGGAGATTTAACATAAATGTTGATTTATAGTTTACTGTAAAATATCAGACAATTATTTGGTAAGTACAGCAAATAGAGCTCTGTTTGTTTTTTGTGCATCTATATGGTGAATTAAAACCTGAAATGAAAAAAGAACAAATGTTTTAGAGTTAAGCCATTGCTACAGAAGTTGTCCTGTAGAATACAGTAAGTGAGAGATAGAAAACTTTGGGTGTAAGTGGAGTTGGGCAACTAACCATTATTGGGTGGCTGCCATATTGCTGGTATTTATCTGAGCATTATACATCTATCATGTTGTTTAACACGCGCAACAGATAAGAAAGAGGCTGCAAGAAGTGGTGTAATTTGCCCACAGTCAAAGATGGTAATGAAAGTGGGATTTAAATCCAGATCTGGCCAGTATAGCATTAGAGCAGTGTAGTATAGAGCTTAGGAAGTCTTGGTTTGATTTCTAGTTACAGCAATTACTTCTACGTGACACTGGGCAACTAAGCTTCTCTTAGCCCTCAGACTCCTTGTCTGTACAATGGAGATAATACTACTTACTGAATAGTTATAATAAGATTAAACAAAGCAATATACAAACATTTAGTACTGTGCCTGGCACTCTATAAGATTTCAATAATAATAATTATAGTCAGTAATATTAATTATTATTATTAAAGTTTATCAAGGCAAGAAAGTTTTTAAATATTAACATCGGGGTGTCAGCCCATAATATCTATACATTTAATTTTCAGAATCAAACATAAGAATAATTACTTAATGTTAACTGAACTGCAACTGAGTGTAATTCACTGCAATTTAGGAATAAATACATGGGATAAGATAAATTAATGCTTTATGAATTCAGTTATCTTCCACTCAATTTAGAAGAGAAAAAACTACTTTAGTCAATGAAGTTAGTTACTATTATTTGCTTAACTTCCTATAAAGTTGATATATTTATTAAATGGCAGTTGATGAGAATCAAAGCAATAATTTTGTAAGAAGTCAGTCTTACAGGTACACATATGACTCCACAGCATTATTGCTAACATTTGTTTTTTCTTTTTCTGAAAGACATATATTAATAGAAACATAAAAATAGAAAAATTAGGATGCACATGGTCTAAAGTTTACATTAATTCTGATGAGATTAAGTAAATTCTGTAATTTTATCAGGAAAAAAATCCATCATTATGCACATTATCAATGTGACTAAGAGATTTCTAACGAAATTTTGGTAGGATATCATAATTATAGTAAAAGTAACAAATATTTATATTTTTATTTTATTTGAAGCCTGTAACTAGAAGTGTTAATTTAATTATACAGTACTGTAATAACGTGTTTTTAGAAATGACAAAAGTAAGAATTCTGTAATAAAGATAGAAATTACAAATTAAGTTTTTTCTAAGGTATGGAACATTTTCAACAAATAGATTAAATTGTAAAACATTTGGAATATGTAAAGAATTCACTCTGGGGACATGTACTCAGTTCCTAATAACACTATATTATTTAAAAATTATTTTTAGTGTATTAAATTATAGTTTTTAGTTCCAAATTGTCTAGTTATTTTTTCCTTGTATCTTCAACTATGTTCATTTCAACAATATGCCTTTTTTAACACGTTCCTCTTTTAAACAGGTTGTAGGAGGAAAGATGACTGAATCAGGTCGGCTCTGTGCATTTATTACCAAAGTAAAAAAAGGAAGTTTAGCTGATACTGTAGGACATCTCAGACCCGGTAGGTTTCTATCTTTGATTATTTACATTTAAACTCTTAAACTTGAGTAGTTACAGAAAGCTGTCCTCATTTAGAAGTGGTTTGGCCAGTAACGAAGAGGTAACCTAACTTAAATTAAACCTTCGTTCATTAGCAGAAAGGCGTAACGTTTCTTGAATCACATCAGATGAAAAGATTTTTGTATTTATTCATCTTATTTTTTTTGCTGATGAAAGTTCCTGGTCTGTGTCTAGTATTAATCTATTTTATTTTCCATAAGCCTTCATTTTCCTTTTTAAAAAACTCCAGCATAATTTAGGAAACAAGCTTTATTTTAGGAAATATGTATTTCCTAAAATATATCACTCCTTATCTCTTTGGTAATGGATGCTATTGGAGAGATCCTGGAGTGCCCTGGAGAGGAATTCATTAAGATGCTAAGTATTAAGTCTTTTACAAGAGAGTTTAGACAAAGTGCTGAGATGCATATATATTGAGAAACCTAGAACACAGAGTCACAAAATCTTTGAAGAGGCAACTGATCTTGACAGTTTCTAGAATTAGAATTTCTATCAAGAAATCATAGAGAAAGAAGTGACATCACCAAGATGGTAACATAGGTCGTTCCTAACTTCTCTGCCCCTCGCAAGAACAACTAACAGCTATTCATGGACAAGACATCACTGAGAAAATCATAGAAAACACAGAAGATAACTTTCATGTAATTTGTCCTCTGACACTTGTCCTTTTGGGTGAAATATACTAATCATCCTGGTCATCAAATTTTATGCCACTGGAGCTGTTCTTCGGCATATTTTTTATTCCATAATGGTGATTTTATTCTATGGAGTTCATTGCCACTTAAGATTGCTTTTGTTTCAAATGCATTTTACGGGATTAGTTTTTCTTTCTGAGATTATCATTACTGACACACACAATAGGTGATGAAGTGTTAGAATGGAATGGAAGGCCATTGCAAGGAGCCACATTTGAAGAAGTATATAACATCATTCTGGAATCCAAACCCGAACCACAAGTGGAGCTTGTTGTTTCAAGGCCTATTGGGTGAGTTGGTTTCATACATGTATAAAGTTGACTATTAGTAAACAATTTGTAATGTGCAATCCAAAAATGTCTGATTGTTTTATAAAAATAAATAATTTTGAGGACAATGCTCTTTTCTCCTTTATTAAAAGTACCTCTTCAAAAATCATGACATCTCTTTATCTGATCATGCTAGAATATACAATTACAAAAGAAGAAGAAATATTTAGGTGTTTATTATTTCTATTATTTTCATAGCTTAGTAGACTACTAAAAGCATTAGTAGAAGGGGACTATATTAGCAAGTACTTTTAAAGGAAATGTCGTGAACTGTTGGTTCTCTACATTGTAAAAATGAGTATCAACTATATTCTATGAATTTTACATATTTGTTTCAAAATGGAGATTTCAACATAGAAAGGAGAGGCCTAATGGCATAGTATTCCCAAATAGAAGGAACAATTTAAGGAAAAATATAACATCTTTAAGGAAACAGACAAAAAATAAGCAAGTGCCAATTACTCTTTGGCTTTTGTAATTTGTTACAAAATTTATGGACAATTTTCAGAAGTTGGCAATAAATATAATCCTTTGTTTCTATATTATGAGAATTACTCATTAAATATCAGAGAAGTATTTCCTTTATAGAAGCTTATTTTCTAAGCCAATGTAGAAGGTATACTTATAACTAAAGAAAGCAATAAAAAATATAAGTTGACAGTGAATTATTACATGTATGTTCGGAGTAAGAGCATTCTAGGGTGGAGGATATAGAAATTATTCTTTATTGTAGAATACTAATGTCCAGTTTTTATGTGTTCAGGAAATGATTGGACTATATTATTTTGATCCCTATTTATCCTGGAGAAAATGACTTAAGTTGGTAACAGTTTTTGAAATGTTCCTTTCAAAAGTAATGAATCTGGTACATGAAATTGTATCTATTTTTCATCTTGTCTTTTCATAGTTTTGTAATGTGGTAAAACCACTGTATCAGCTTAGTGTATTAACCAAATATATTTCTTGGTGTTAAGGATCCACTAATCATATTTTTATTTAATGTCTTAAATATTCTTTTATGTAATTCTCTGAATGATTTTAACCATTACTATCTAACCATCGTGGCAAATCTCAAAGAAAAAGAAAAAGGAGTATGTATTTTTGGTGTAAATGAAGTTACAAGGTACTTTTGTAAATCCCAACAAGAAACATGTTTGCATTTTCCTCTGGAGTTATTACATTTAAAAATTTCAATCACAATCTGAATGTTTTAATTTTTGTTTTGTAGATATTTTCTTTGAATTTTAATGTTATTGATTTAGAACAACAGCAGGTAAAAATAAAGCGTAGAATAGAATTAAAATGTTTCTATAAAACTTATCTTGTTGAATACAGAAACTTTTTAGAATGCATAATTGTTTAGTGAGGCACATAGAAAATAAAGTGTATGTTTTTGCAAATATGAATTTTAATTCAATTTAAGTAGTTGGAGTTAGCCCAGAATACTTTTATTAGCAATAAAGTACTATGAATTTTGTTTTCTTATTTATATAGTGCTGCCATCATACACATTTTGTTCCTTTTACACTGCCATGTTATAATATAGGTTGATAATGATCAAAATAGCAGTTGCATTAATTTTTGCAACAATTTCTTGTTTTCTTTTTCTTTTCTATCATTTCAGAGATATACCTAGGATACCTGATAGCACACATGCACAACTGGAGTCCAGTAAGTTTCTTTTATTCTAGAAGAAAATGTTATTAGTAATGTCATTCAACAGGGATCAAATGAAGTGTTTTATCTGTTAATACAAAATAAGAAATGCAGTAATCTTGTTATTAAATATATCATATAAAGATGAAAAATTTAGTATTATTTCTTGTCATTGTGAGAAAAGTACAAAAGTTTATAATATTTGAAGACAATTTTTTTAACCACATCTTAATTACTGTGTATCTTTAGATAGCTTTATTAAGGTATATTACAATAAACTGTACATATTTAAAATGCACAATTAGATAAGTTTTGACATACATGTGAACCTATCATCACAATAAAAAATAACAAACATACCATCACTCTCAAAAGTTTCACTTTCTACCCCCCTCAAATTTTCCCTGATTTTAAAATGTACTGCTTTGTAACCTAACCCTCAGTTAAGTGGGGAAATACTTGGGACAATCTAGTGAATAATTATGTATATTCTAATTTACGTTTTTAGAAAATGCCATAATAGTTCTGATTTAACATTAGAATAGTAATGGAACAATACACGTATAAGTTTAAATAATGTTAAATACACACTTTTTATTACTTGTGTTTGAGTGCTATTTCAGATGTAATACAAATGAATTTTTTCCAGTGAACCAAATTTCTTTTTTGATTGAGAGTAGCAGGTTGCAATTTGAAATATGTTGATCAGGATAAACCACATTGAGAAGGAAGGATTGGAGCAAAGATTTGAAAGAGTGGCTATCTGGGGGAAAAGCTTTCCTGGTTCAGGGACCAGCTGTGCAAAGGTTCTAAGGCAGGAAAGCCTAAGATGCATTTAAGGAAAAGCAAGGAGGCCAGTGGGGTTGCAACAGAGTGAGCAAGGGGAAGAATGGTAGGAAGGAGGATTGGGGTAATGGGCAGCCAAGTTGTGTAGACTTTACAAGCCACTGTAAAGACTTTCAGTTTTACTCTGAGGGAAACCAAGAGCTACATAGAATGGTTTTAAGGAGAGACTTATGTTTTAAAATCTGGCTACTATGTGGAAAATAGATTAAATGGAGTCAGGAATGAAAGCAGGGAGATCAGTGAGAAGACTGTTTTAGTGTTTTTGTTGTGAGACGATGGTGACTTAGTCCATGGTGGTAGCAATGAAAGTGTTGAGAAGTGGTCAGATTCTCTACACACACAATAATTGAGAATATACTATTAAAATAGGTATTTTCTTTTATATTACAATTATGAGTATAAATTTCAAAAAAATCTTTACCAGAGAGGTGAACTCCTTTTGGAATGGCGTAGCTCTTCACTATAAAATATGGTCATATGGCCTATTTGACTTAGTACTTTTGGCTAGGTGTTAAATCATTTTATCCAAAATAATATTACGATCACATGAAACTATAACATAGTAAGTACAAGTGTAATGATAATAATAATCATTATGTATATTGATATTATCATCATCATGATTGCTCCCATTTTATTGAGTGCCTGAAACTGTGCTTGATGTTGAACCTACATTGTCACATTTAGTTTCTACAACAATCCTATGAAGTAGGTAAAATTTTTATTCACTTATGTTACATCATTGTGATGTTATGTGAGCAGTGTGGAACCCTTTATCTTGTTACAGCTATTTAAGAAGACACAAGGCTACAATTCCAAAATTGTTCCTGAGGAGACAGGGGTCCTTTCTCAAATTAGGTTCAATCCTTTATCCTTTAAACGTTGAAGAATAAATTTCTCCAAGGCCCAATTCTTAACCCTCTGTCCTTAGTTCCTCAGTAAATTCTTCTCTTCATATGGTTTTGATTGCCATACGACTCCTGAGTTTACATTATCAGAATGCTCTATCATTGTCCCTTCATCCCTGAGTACTTAAAGAATATGTTCTAGGGGCCAGCCCGGTGGCCGAGTGGTTAACTTCGTGCACTCCGCTTCGGTGGCCCAGGGTTTCGCTGGTTCGGATCCTGGGCGCGGACATGGCACCGCTAGTCAGGCCATGCTGAGGCGGCACCCTGCGCAGCACAACCAGAGGCACTCATAACTGGAATCTACAACTATGTACTGGGGCGCTTTGGGGAGAAAGAGGAAAAATAAAATCTTAAAAAAAAAAAGAATATGTTTTCTTAAGTGTCTTTCTGTTACTTGAAGCTTAACATGTATAAAACTGAGCTTATTTCTTACTATAAAGTCAGTATTCTTTCCATTTCTAAATACTATAAAAAGTATCACCATTACTTCTGATTCCAAGACTTGGAGTTTCCCCCTTTATTTTACACCGTGCTATACTCTCTCTGGAGGTGAATTTTATCCACTTGTGCCTCCAATTAGGGAGACACTTTACAGTTTAATTTCTAGTGGTACTGTCTACTCAACATTTTGTCTCATCCATATATCCAGTTACCTGCTTTACATCTCCCCTTAGATGTCTTGGAGGTGTCACAGGATCACTGTGTTCCAAATTAACTTCTCCACCCCTTCCCTCAAACACAGGACTTCTCTCCAGTGTTCTACGTCCCATGGAACGTCAGCACTGTCCTGGGCAGAGAACAAGACAGAGACATAGGGGACTTTCTTGACCCCATGTCTCATCATAAGACTTGAAATCTTAATGTTTTCCCCCCTCTTCCCTTTATCTCTCATATCTAGTTATTTTTTGAGCCCTCATTTTCTTATTTTGTGATATTGTCTGAATTCTCTCTTTCCATTCCATTTTTGCAACTATTCCTATTGTTATTTTATTGAATTCTACTTGTTCTTAACTCTTTTCCATCTTGCTCAATTGAATCTGCACTTTAAATAAGTGGTAAAGTCATCTTTCTCAAATGCAATTTTATTGCCCCACTCATAAGAGCTTAGCAGGGATACTTTGTTAATGCTAAAATGCGTAACCCAGAATTCCAGGCACTTAATTCCCCCAGTATCCCAATACCCCCATTTTCATTAATTTTCTGATTTGTTCCTTCCCCTCCATAGAAATAAATTCATACATATAACTTCTGGGTACTGTGGTTCTGCTTTTTCTACTATTCTGTATCTTTTTTTCATAGCTCTTCTCTTCCTTTCTGCCTTTATAATTCCAGATATGGTTAAAAAAGTCACTTATTGAAAACATTTCATAATTAACTTTCTAGTACTTATGTTTCGAGCATTACAAGTTTAGATCATCTTCAAGTTGCTGTATTGATTTACATTTTGGCTTTTCTTCCCTAAGTTTCTATTTTAAAATTTTCTTAATATCTTTTTGCAAGATATGAGTTTAGCACACATAGCAGACAAAGTAACTAGGCCCTGAGGTAGAGGTCTGTCTCTAGTATAATTGGCACAGAAAATGATTCACCCTTGGTCTTAAGAGAATCCGTAAGCTGCACTTAGCTTAAAAGAAAAACCCCTCTCAGTGTATTTGAAACATTGTGGCTAAGAAAATGGTCTGTATAATGACGTTTTGTGGACATTTAAAAAATAATTTAAAAGATATGTGATAAAGATTATTAAATATTAATGAAGAGTCGTTATTATTCTTCATGTATAATTATCATTTCAGGTTCTAGCTCATTCGAATCTCAAAAAATGGATCGTCCTTCTATTTCCGTTACCTCTCCTATGAGTCCTGGCATGTTGAGGGATGTTCCACAGTTCTTATCTGGACAACTTTCAGTATGTAATCACTAAATTAATTTCTCTTTTTGGAATATCAAGTAGTGTTTTTACTATATGATGCTAGTTTTTAGTAAACCAAGTTTTTCTTAGAATATAATTTGCTTTTAACCATCAACTTTTTCATTCTTAGTAATTTTAATTCATTGAAATTCAATTTTAATTATTTAGTGTAGTGCTTTCTTTATTAAAGTTAGTTTTTCTGGAATTTAATGAGAGTTAGAATTTGTGAAGGTACCTAAAATCTTTTTTACCTTAGTAATTTTATTCCAAAATTCAAGGTCATGATTTTGCTCAATACCTTAAAATGACTATAATTTGTCATCGACTTTTAAGAGAAATAAAAATGCTACAGTGTACAAAGATGGTGTATTTAAGATAAAGTAAATATTTATATAGTCTTTCCTGCTTTTCAAACTTAAGGAAATTTGGGGTGAATTTCATAGTAATCATTGGGATATGAATATTGTTCTGAAATGCTTTTGTCAACAGGCAAAACTAAGTAAATGGGGAAATACATAATAGATTACTGAGTACATCAGGTAATTTCATATTAAGTGATCCCTAATTTGAACATTTTATAATGAAAGTTAGTATTTCAATTATGCATTTTATGTCCATATTAGAAGAGCTTTGTGAATGTAAGCCCTCACTTTTTATTAATTTCTTCAGTTGTCATTCTCTTTTTAAACCATTTAAGTATATTAAAATACTAAAATTTATCCAGTTACATTTTAGAAACATACAGGTTAATACGGACAGTAATACCAGGGAATTACTAAACTGGAAATTTTGTGAGTGTTAAGAACTATTTAGATTCTCAAAATTCAGACATTGAATTTTGGATAAAAGATGTTGTGACTAAAAACTAAACTATTCTCTTAGTTTAGAGTAAATTGTACTCTTAAAACTAATATTTTAAGAGTAATAAAAAAAGCCTTTTGTTAAATCCGGTACGAAATTTCTCTTTTTATTTTTTTGGGAAAGGGAAGGTTGATTTTTGCTGAAGAATTTTCATTAATTAAAAGGAGATATAGGAAGTATATACAAAATTAGCATATTAAAATTATTGAAAAAGTCATTAGACGTGTCTGTTCTAGGACTATTTTAATTACAAAAGTGACAATAACAGAAAAGTTATGCAAGAAAGAAGATGAGATACTATTAGGAGATTGTAAATGTCTTACTAAAATGATTTTCTTCTCTTTATTATTTTCTTTTCCTTTCTCTTTCATAAACAGAGTGGGCTTTTTCATTTGAGGACAGTGGTCTTTTTTCCATTTTCCACACTAAGTAGTGTCTTTCCACTTATTCTTGTACATATATTGACAGCACAGATGTTGTCATTTATGCTTACAAATGTTATGTGTATTTTCTTCCTCCATTTTAGAAAGTGCTAATAAATGTTAGCTGTTTATTTTATTTTATTTTATTTTATTATGGCTCTATTTAATTAGTTCATCTGTAAATAATACTCTGGGTGGCTGAATGATGCTTGCACATAAATAAATCTGTGTGTGTGTGTGTGTGTGTGTGTGTGTGTGTATGTAGTTGGCTTCAGTTGGAGGAGGGAGCGGGAGTTAGACTTCCTTAATAAGTAAGTACCACTTTGTTACCTCCTTTGAAATCCCAAGGCCCTATTAGAAACTGGACTAGGAGGGGAGTGTGAAGAGCACAGTGCAGACATTTAGAGAAATTTTAAATTGAACTGTTTTTCCTCATGGTTCAAAATGAATACGGTAGAAAGCTAAGACTGTTAAATATTTTGGGGGAAATGTAAACTTAAGTTTTGCTTCTAAATGTATATGTAATAGTGTAAAGTTATAGTATTTAGATTTATAAATGATATCGGTTTAAAATCCATGTAATTGTAATTTAAAATGTGTACATTTTATCATTTTCTTATGATTTGGAAGGGGTATGTTCCAGTAAGATAATATTTATAATACATATTTGTTGTGTTAAATCTAGAAAGTACAGATAAATAAAACTTAAAAGTCACCCATAATCCTACCATTAAAATATAATCATTCACTACATATAAATTTTCAATCAAAACTGTAATAAATCTGTGTATACTATTTTGAAACCTGCTGTTTCATTCAGCAATATATTGTACTTTTTTCTTTAAACCTTTTTCTCTAAAAATTTCTCTTAAAATGATTTTAGTAGCTATTTAATACTCCATTTTAACGTGATTTGCTCTTATAGCCTATCTTGCTTGTTTCTAATTTATATTGTTATAAATAATGATGCCATGGAAATCCTTGAATGTAAATCTTCCATATTTAGTTAGAACAAAATTCTTTTGTTGGGCTAACTTTCCAGAAGTAAAATTACAATATGAAAGGAAAAAGAACAATTTTAAGATTATTGAAATCTATTGCCCAGATTTTCCTTCAAAATGTCTTTCCCAAATTAAACTGTAATTATTTATTCAAGAAGTAGACGTTAAGTTCTGACCCCAGGTGAGCCATAATACTAGTAGCTGGGAATACAACAGTGAATAAGATAGACATAGATTTTACTCTCATGAAACTTAATTTTATATTCATTCTTTGCATGCAGGAAAACATAAGCAAGATACCCTTATGGATATGGTATTTCCTCTTATATTTAACGCTATTTCTTCCAACTGGAGACAATTTTGGTTTGCTCTAATGATATAGAGGTTGAGAAAGTATGTGTCCACATATATGACCCTTCAGGAAAACCCCTTGGAAGTCGCAAGGCAACATTACAATTCCTATATCCTTCTACTTTATCTTTGGGCAGTTTTGCTTTTGGTGAAATTTTACTTGGGCTCACAACTCGCTTGCAAAATCATGACATTTCTAATGCCTGAGAACAAAGATAATTTGTATAGTGTGTGAGCTGACCTTTGTTAATATATTTATGTCAGTTCATGGACTGATATTTTCTCAAATAGAAAATACGCATATAATGCAAATTGTTGTTTAAACTTTCATGCTCAAGGCTCTTAATGATTTTTAAAAGTTTATCCAGTGTGTTTCCTCTCCATGCTTGAATTGTGCTGCTGCTTGTTATTATTGTAGGGCATAATTATGAAAGCTCCATTAATGTATTTGGTGAGAAAATCTGTGTGAGCTCAGGTTTATGACATCTGAACTATATGTTAGCCTTTTCAGTGTCACCACTCCCGCATTTTAATTCTTTTTAAAATTTGTGATTTCTGTAATTTAGCAGTTTCCTTCTTCAGAGGATCACTTTTGTAATCTTCTCAATATTTAAAATTATTTTGCAGTTTTTGGCTAGTTTTTTGATAGAATGTTAAGATAAAATATAGCCTTCAACTCTTCTAAAAGTGAGAAATGGCTCAGAATTCTTTTTATAGGAACACACTGATTCTTATTGACATTTATAGTTTATTTTACTTCAGAGTCTGTGGTTGATTTATGGTTGCAATGTTTCCCTAAGTTATTTTGTTTTAATATTTTTCTGACTCCATTTTTAGTGATGAGCTTGTAAATATTGTACATATCACTTTTATATGCCCATTTAAAGGGAATGAGTAACAGAAGAATAGGTATGTATCCTTTATATCTCCTTAGAAACTCTATAGCCTTCTTAAAACTTTCGTAAATGAAAGTTTTTTCTTTGAGCTTTTTTCTTTTATATGTCATTGTCACGACCTTTTTATTCCAGAAGTATTGCATAAAAGGAATGTCCTAAAGAGATTAGTGCAGTATATAGTGTGAAGTGACATTAAAAACGCAAAATAAATTGTGATATACAAATTCAAATTCTTCATTTGTATGAGGCTGGGTTGTTACAGATATTTATCAGATATTTGATTCTTAAAGTAAATGAATTAATATTAATTACAAATTGTAGTGAGATACTCAATACTTTACCATTCCTATATGAAATATCCAAAATCCATAGAGACAGAAAGCAGCTTAGTAGTTGCCAGGAGTTGGAGCAATGGGGGAATGCAGAGTGATTACTTAATAGATACAGGGTGTTCTTCTGGGGTGATGAAAAAGTTTTGAAACTAGAAGGAGGTGCTGGTTGCACAGCTTTGTGAATGCACTGAATGCCACTGAAGTGTGCACTTTAAAATGGTTAATCGTACATTATTTAAATTTAACCTCAATTAGAAAAAAACTAATAAAAATATGTTTTTATAGCCGAGTTTAATGTATAAACTTATGGGTGAAGATTAGGTTTAAATTGCCATAGATTTGAGACAATTGATTTCAGAAATCTGTGTGTTGCTCATTTGAAATCATTTTAGAAAATGGAAAAATGTTTGCCTTAAAGGATTAGTTTATTTCAAAGTACTATTCCTTTTAAAGTAAATCTTTTAGTTTATAAAGTCATATTTACTTGCAAAAACCTTCCATTACCTTGATATTTTTGGTCTAAAACTGTAGAACAGGTGAGAGGACAAGGAAAATAAAATCTATTTCTAAGTAGAGTCCCTTCCTTCACCATGCTTAATCTCTATGAATTTCATACATCCCTTCCCCATTTGCCAGAGAATTATCCGCCTAGGGTTATGCAGACAGAAATCAGTAACACACTCCATATCTAAACATTCCTTTTTTCCTTTGGGAATGTCTCGACATAAAAAGGAAGACAGCTGAGATTTAAGACTGCCTTGGTTGTTGGAGAGAGAGAAGGTGACTCATATAATTGAATGATAATCTGCTTTTAGGATCTGCTTTCCTTTGGGTTTTAGATTTATGTCTTAGTGGCCGTCTGATGATGGTTGAATTAGACAACGGTCCGCCTAGTACCTATTATCCATGTAGCAGTGGAAAAGTCTGAATCCTTTAACCATATACAAGTGTTTGAATTAGACAAGAGAGACATCCGTGAGAAATGTGAGGACTGGAATGGAATCTTGGGGAAGGAAGCAAGGTTAAATGCCTTGAAATCCATTTCCAAACCCAGAGATATGCATCTGGTTTTGTCCCTGATTTAACTGTTGGCAGGCCTTAACAAAGGCACAAAATTCTGATTCTTGTGGTATCTTTTGGAAACTGTTTCAAAATGAAAACAAAATAAGTGAGAAGAGAAAGGAAATTTGATTTTACTCTAAGAATTTGAAATTTAATTTGATTTGATTTGATTTAATCAGAACTGAGTTCTATTTTCTACCTCTACACTATCTTACCTTTTGTTTGAGTGTTCACAAGTGTATCTAGTCTTTTTCTGAGTCTCTGTTTCTTCATCTACACATTGGAGATAATAGCAAATACCACCTAGCATTGTTAGAGGTAATAAACTTGCAATAAGCGGTCAGTAAAAACTTGGAAAAATATAAAGAAATGAGATATTATTGTCATTATTAAGTGTGATTAGCAATAAACAGTGTTATCTTAAACGGTACATAATAAATGTCTGAAAATAGTGTTTAAATACCAGAACCTGATACAGATTCTTAAAGTATGAATCAGCTAATTAATCCAGTGCATCCCAGCACACTTTTATCTTACTGTGTTTATTCTTTTAAGAAATGCTAAAGCTGACTTGACTAATGTTTTTTAGACTTTTGTTAGACATCATTTTGGATAAGTCACAATTCTACAGATGACTTTCCACTAATAATTCCGTACTGCATTTTCATCTAACTTCTTGGACTATCATTTTTTTCTTTGTAGAGTGTTTAAGGGTGAAACTTGAAATTTCTTGACTCGAGTTATATTCACACGCGTTCTTTCAGAATATATGAGCCCAAATATGTTATTTTACATTCAGTCTTAATTCCTGTTATATTGACTACATTAAAAGATCTTGTTTAAAATTTCTAAGATTTTATACGGTTTTTATATAGTTTAGCATTTTGGCAAAATTAATTTATCCATTACATTGAAGTACTTAATTTAGGTATATATGGTCATGGAAAATTATGTTTAAGGGATAGTTGTGTTTGTTTTTACTTTTGGTCTTTTAGTTCCAGCGTGTTGTCCTTTTTGGTTTTGTTTTATTGCTTTTTTCTTTAATTTTGCTTACCAGAGCCAAAGCCTTAGTAGAAGAACAACGCCTTTTGTTCCTAGGGTTCAGGTAAAGGCCTTGTCTGCCTGATAGAAACTAAAGTTGTGTTTTAACCCTGATTTGTATGTTTTTGGAAAATGCGTAGTAGGAAAACTTTTTTTGGTATGTTGCTCCAAACCATATTATTGAATTTCAAATCATTTTATGAGCCACCTTGTAAAATTATGCATGAGGATTAAAGTACAATAAAAATTTAAAGAGACAATCTTTGTTAGTGATTTTATATGATGAACTGGATACTAAAACTCATAGGTTTCAGAGTGGCATTTAATGTAGATTCCACTTATATACGTACATTGATAGAAATAGCTAATTTTATTCTGTTGATATCTTCCTTTATTATGCTAAGGTTGCTGTCTCTTTAAATCATTCATTATATCACTTAACATCATTCTCTTGCATTTTCCAAGCAATAACTCCTTGAGGAGATTGGCAAATAAATTTGTACCTTATCTAAAATATGAATTTTATGCATATTATGTATACTTTTGGAAAGTATATTACTCTGAAAAAACTAAATCACAATCAAATAAAATGTACTGGGTTTATTTTGTTTACATTTTGTAATTGTAATTCCATTTGACTTTACTGTACTACTTGGGTACAAGTTGTTTGCCTCTTTTCATTAGGAAACCCTTCTATGGTAAAGTAACGTCAATATAGTTTTTATTTTTAAAAGTAGTATTATGCTTTCCTTGCTTTGCTGCATGGTTTCTTTTGTTGTTGGTTTTGGATAATACTAATTTAGTTTAAATTTTAAAAACTTAAGTTGGAATTGGTCTAATTAATATATGGTATAAAATATTTACTCGTGCTGCTCAGGTTCTGCTTAGGAAATTTACAAATGTTATATCATAAAGCTGGAATGATAATTATAGTAAAATGATACCAAAGTTTTTATTAATGAAATTGAAATAAATTAAGAAGTATGTCATAGCTAGAATTGTGGAACTACATTTCTTGTATTTTGGAGAACAGATATTTAACCATTCGTTTAAAAAGCACAGATAAGAAATTTAAGAATGTGGTAAAATAATCTAGCTAATAAAATAATACCATTTTGATAATGTGAACTGGATAGCTATTAAAAACTTCAATGTAAATCCTGTAATATAAAATGAAAATTAGAGCTATTGATCAAATGCCCAGCTTAAGACAGTTTATTAAAAAGTGTAATTTTGATCATGAAGTCAGTAAAATTAAGATGTACCTGTTTCATATTTATATTATTTTAACTTTTATATTTTTGTAAATTATAATTTAACAAACTGTAAAGTATTATTGTGAAAATATAAAGCCATATGCCTAATATGTTTGTATGAGAAATGAATATTATTAATAAGTGATACTTTTGATTTTCCATGGCATAAGAAAATCGAAAAAGAATACTCCTTATCAAGCATTTGAAGTATATATCTCAGATGTTTAGCTGTAATGATTTTTATTAAGGGAGCAAAATATTGCCTTTGGAGATGGCAGCAAGTGCTTAGTCTCAATCCTTCCAAAAAAAACCTCACAGAAATCAATAATTTGCTCCCTAACTTATGAGCTTAGTCTAATAATAATTATTGTTTCTTTGTTTCTCAAGTGTAAAGTTTATTGGAAAAAAATTGCTTTAGCCTTTTGGAATCCTTTTCTGTTTGAAGTGCCTAATATTCATGTCATGATTCTCAGAGAAGGATTTTTAATATCATGGAAAAATAAAACGATAAGCTTTTTTATTGCTATAGAAAATAGAGAATATCAGAAATTAATCTGGTTTTAGTCACACATTTTAGATGAACCATGTTGCTATCTGACAACATTTGTTTCATATTTTATATGAGACATTCTTGTATTTCTTACTTTTTTTTCCCCCTCATATCTTTTGTCAGAAGAATAGTTTAGTCTCTTTTTCCACCTATCCTCATCGGTATCTGTGTGCTAACATTGCTAGGCAAGCAAATATCTGAACTTTTTTCCCATGCAAATGTTAGAGGCTTTTTTTTCAGGTTGTTGATCTCCTAGACTAAGACAAGTGGTTCTCAAACTTTAATGTCCATGAGAATCACCTGAAAACTTGTTCAAATGCAAATTCCTGGGCCCCATTCTGATTAGTAGGTGAGAGGTGGGCCACAGGAATTTGGAACTTTGTGAGAAACAAGCCAGTTAATACTGATGCAGGAGGTTTGTTAACCACAGTTCAAGAAACACCTGTTTAGAGTCTGTTTCTACTTAGCAACTTCACTAGGAAAACTTTGTTACACAACAGCAAGATAATACCAGCATTAAACATAAAGACTTAACATAAAGAATAGTAATAATGATTTTTAAAATTTAAATATTTCTTACTATTATTCTTATAAGATGGCTAATTACATTTGACAGGAAAGAAAAGCATATAAATAATTTTATATACTCTTCTGGCCATTGGTCTTCCTTTTCTGTCTCAAAAGTCTTGCTCAGCCTCTCATTCTCTAAGATATGAAGTGAGGCACTCAACAAAGCCATGTTAGAATTGGAACTGAACTACCAGTATATCATCGATATACATATTTATTTATATGATTTTTATGTATATGATATATATTTATTTGTGTATCTTGGAGCCTGACCCAGAACTGACTGTCCGCTTTGGAGAGGAGAGGGAAAGACTGATGTGAGATGTATGTTTAAATTTGTTGAACTGATGCTAAATTTTTTAAATGTACAAATATCATACATCCAAATAACAGGAAAAAATTAAACCATTAAAATATATATAAGCCATAAAACTATCTGTATTATATAAATATAATTTTATTTCCAAATTCCAAATTTCTGATTCAATTTTGGTTTTGAGGTAGTGATCAGAGATGTGCTGAGTTCTGAACCAAAATGTTAGTCAGAGCCCTAGTTCCAGATCCTGACACGGTAGAATCAGCTAGTCAGGTGTGGGAGTGTGAGATGTGTGTGTGGGAGGTGACACTTGTTAAATCAAATGAATTCAGCAGCTGGATGTGAAGTTCCAATCCTTAATTATGGCATAGAGAAATTATTCACATTTTCTCATCTTGAATTATAAAATAGACCCTTATTATTTTAATGATGTGATACATTTGCTTTCACAAATGAAAAAGAGACTTTATATCTGTTTAAGAAAAATTTTAAAAGATGAACTTGTTATAGTTTTAAAAACAAACTTAAGGAGTCTATTGACTAAAGCTATTAATAATTCCCCCTTGCTTATAATCTTTGAAATGTGTTCTGCTGTGGAATAACATAAAGCATTTGCTTAAAAATTCCCTATGAAAGCCATATAAACAAGTTATCTATTCAATTCACTTTAAGCACTTATTCTCAACTCAGCATTGTTGGGGAACCAAAATGAATTTCAGTGATTCTTGCATAAAGATAGACATACAGCAATCATTGTATATAAAGTCTTTAATAATGGTAGTGTAAATTATTATGTGCCTGTTGATAAGCAAATTAAGAAAACAAAAAGTCCAAGTGATTTATCAATTGAACCAAAATATCTGAATTAATTCCTCTATTCATTGAAGTTATTATAGCATATCCTTTTATTTTAACTGACCACAATTTACTAAGTGAAATTTATATTCTGTGCTAATATTAGGGTAAGAGAATGGGGTCAAGATTGGGAATGTAAACATGTTGTGGTAGTAAATGTTTAAGCTGATAAATGAATATTTTTGCTTTTCAGATAAAACTATGGTTTGACAAGGTTGGTCACCAATTAATAGTTACAATTTTGGGAGCAAAGGATCTCCCTTCCAGGGAAGATGGGAGGCCAAGGAACCCTTATGTTAAAATTTACTTTCTTCCAGACAGAAGGTAGGGATATAAAAACAAAAATAAATGTTACTGAAAATAAAAGAGAAATGTTAATAGCAGTTCATGTTTCAATTTTGTATCATTTATTTTTATTGTACCAGTCATATACTTATGAAGTTTAACATAAGCATAATGACTTTTAGGAATCAAAATAGTGACAGTAAATACTTTGAGATTGTTTTAAAACTTATATCAAATGTTTATAACATAAATTACTTTATTGAATATTTATTTTAAGTTATGTGGATTATTTCTTAAATAATGTATATTTTCATTTATCAAAATCATTAAAAATTATCCTCTTTTAAATCAAATGCATTTTCAACACAAACTGCAGAGGCAAAAAGCTGAAAATGTTACTGAAAGGTACTCATCATATTCCTCTACAATTTCTATCTTCTCTTATTAAGGTATTATTTCTCTGTATTCTGTAAAATTAGTGAGTATGCTTTATATTTCATCACCCCTTATCATCAAAGACACCTCACCACAGGGCCCAGAATCAGCTTCTTCAAGCATCATTTGCTTTGTGCTGTCTTCCGGAGAGGAATACATTTCGGACTGCAAGGGAGGAGGAGGATATCCATAACTAGAGGGTTACATCTAGCTTAAACTTCAGTTGGATGACAGATGTCACAGCCATATTACCCTACCATCCTGGAGGCCAAGTCACTTGGCTTCTTAGAGCACACATAGGTTGCTTAGTCTAAGCATCCTTAGAGTGCCATCATAAAAACCTGCAGGAAATGCTGCATTCCCATCTCTACTTTTTTTCTTTTTGAGGAAGATTAGCCCTGAGCTAACTGCTGCCAATCCTCCTCTTTTTGTTGAGGAAGACTGGCCCTGAGCTAACATCCGTGCCCATCTTCCTCTACTTTATATGTGGGATGCCTACCACAGCATGGCTTGCCAAGTGGTGCCATGTCCATACCGGCAAACCCCAGGCCACTGAAGCAGAACGTGTGAACTTAACCATTGCGCCACCGGGCCAGCCCCCCATCTCTATTTTTATGCACACACATAACTTTGGTTTCTACTCACTCAAACCTTTGAAGAAAAATACTTACTTTTTAAGATGATAAAAGTCTCTCAAATTAGTGAATTTATTTCCTGATTGACTGTTTTTGTTTAGTTTTATTTTATTTTACATCCCTCCACGAACTTTCTGAGCAGATAGAGCTAAAATGTGAGGGAAGTTCCTTTTAACCACTCCTTTATATTCCAAATTTAGTGTTTTTATCTTTTCTCAACACCAAAAAATGTGAGAAACATTTGAATATTTTATTCTCCGATTATTTTTTAGCTGAGTTTCTTTGTCAGTTATCAGGAATTTGAAGAATATTTAAGCAAGTTTGTAGCTTACTTTATTGATAGAATTTTGTCAGGGTTTTATCTTTAATAGACAAAAGAATTCTCTGGTTAACTCAGAAACAGCTACGTTATCATCTCAACAACTTTTGTTATTGCTGTTTTTTGCTGTTGACGCAAGTTTTTGCATGAATGAAAAACTATGCTTTTGGATATGAATTATTTCATTTTTCTCGACAACTTCTCTGGGAGAAAAATTATTTGAATAAGTGAACATAGAAAACAATTGATGTCATTTTGTTAATGAGAATTCCTGGAGGGGCAAGTGAGGCTACTTAGAAGAGATTTAGTCTAAAGGTCAGTATAGCAGCCAAGCCATTCAAAACACTGTTTTCTCAAAAATGTACTCTGTACTCTAAGAAATAGCTGGATGTGCTTTACATTTTTTTATATCTTGAAGTAAAGTTGGTTACCAGTCAAAATATATTTCTTTCTTTCATTTTGAGGAAAAATATCAAGTCTTTGCATGCTATTACTAAGTTAAATTAAATGGAAACCAAAAGTACTGGTAACATGAAAATAATAGAAAAAGCTTTAGATTAAATTTTATTTTTAAAAGAAGTAATTACAATCTCAACAATTTAATGATGCTGCTAGTGATCACTTATTTATTTTATTATCGTTAGGCTGCTATTTACAAAATATCTCTATAGCATGCTTATTGATCGTAGGTTTTAAATACTTTTAGCAGCTTTTCAGTGTTTGACTTATACAGCATGATCTTATTGTGATAACTTTAGTTATACTTCTAGAAAAAAATAAAACATTTGCTTTTTTTTAACTTGCTGAAGATATGATAATTTTTGTGGTTCTTTTTATTTATTAGTGCTTTATACACACTAATCTGCCTTATTAAATTTGTAATCATGTACGGTGGGTTTATGAGGAACCTCAGAGATTATCTAGTCTCTCTCCTACACAGTATGGAAAACCTTTCTAATATAGTCATTCTTTGAGAACTTTTTTCACTCCTTAAGAGCAAGTCTAGGCTTATTCTTCTATTCCCTTTCCGATTGCAGTATAAAGCATTCTTGAATTAGACAGCAATGCTCCTGCTAAATGCTTTCTTCCTGTCCTTCATGGAAGGAATGTTATCTCTTGACAGGGTCTCATATTTCATTCTCTAATGGATGGAATATAATTACTAGAAGCTTTGTAAATATTCATTAAAATTTTAGATGAAGGGAGGCAGTGACAGAACGAGTCATAAATCATAGTGTTTGTTACTATTTCTATTATTTATTTAGTTTTATTTACAGTACCACTCTTCCATAAATTTGAATAGAGATAAAATCTCCTACATGGGCTTTCAAAATTATTTTCCTACCAAGACCTCAGAGATTAATAAATATACATTGCTTTAAGGTGGCTTTGTGCCACTTAAATGTATGTGCTCTAGAAACATATGTGCTCTGGATTACTTAAGGCAAACCTATATTAAACATTAAGCCCTATATTCAACTAAGAGAAGAAGTTGCATAGCCTCCCCAATTCAGAGACACTTTATCCCTTCTTACGTCTCCCTGTTTCCTATTTCCCAACACGCTTAGAACTGTACTGTGCTGAGAGAATTTGTAGCAGTTACTATGGTTCCACTTGAAGTTCATTGTCCACTTCTCACTTCAAATAGGCTTTCTAGATAGCTTAACGGTTCCTTCCTAGAAGATTTTCTTTCTTCCTCTTCAGCCATTGATCCTCTCTAATAAGCTAGAATAATGATCTCCAAAAAGAATGGATGTACTGAGGGGATATGTAAGACAATCCATTGGAGTTAGGATAAAATATTTATATTTTTATTTGTATCTAATTTTTAATTCCCATTTTTTAATATTTACCAATAGACACAATATATTAGTACGTCAGTATAGTAATACATGTATATAATTCATAAATATATGTGCATATAATGGGATACATAGTCAAAAACATTCCTTTGATAGAGATACATAGTCCAAAAAAGTGTGGAAGACTCTGAGTTGGAAGTCTCATCTGTCAGGATTGCCAGCTTGCATTTCTATCCCACATTATAGTGGCTACCTCAGATACAGATAATTTTACAATGTTTTTAAAGACCCGAAACTGTCAAATGGGCAAGTATGTAGTTCTTGTATGTAAGAAAGTAACTTGATAAAATGTAATTACAGTTGCTCGTTAGCTAAACTATATGGATGTGAAGTTGTGAAGGTCACAATTTGCTAGACTTTTTGTACAATAAGACTTCTGTAGTTTAAGTGAATCGTATATGTAATGTTGTTGGTTAATTGCCAGTTTGAAGGTTTCCAGTAGGACAATATGTTAGAAAATTTTAACAGTTAGGATTCTTCAGTCTGGTTTTATTTAGATTTTGAGAAAGATTTAAGTTTTTGATTATCTGTCATGGAAAAATTTCAGATTTGTTGAAATATTGCTATTATTGTCATACTTATAAAGTGATATAATTATATACCTTATAAATTTTAGTAATAATTTTAAAGATTATAATATTTGTATTATATAATACATTTATGGTAAAACTTCACTTGGCTTATTTCTTGAGAAATTTTAAGTTAATTTTTAGGGCAATACTTAGAAAAAGGTTTATAGAAGTTCATATATTCTTATTTTTTTCAGTGATAAAAACAAGAGAAGAACTAAAACAGTAAAGAAAACGTTGGAGCCCAAATGGAACCAAACATTCATTTATTCTCCAGTCCACCGGAGAGAATTTCGGGAACGAATGCTGGAGATTACCCTTTGGGATCAAGCTCGAGTTCGAGAGGAAGAAAGTGAATTCTTAGGAGAGGTATCTGGAATTGTTTTAAAGCTTGGACTATTCATGTCACCCTGAATACTTTGGTTTATGTGTCTATCAGTAAAATTTTATAGTTTGAATATCTGAAAAAGTAAACATAATTTCTTTAACAGAATGAATTTAGCCACTGCTTTAAGACAAAATTTTGATGCCATAAAAAACAATGGTTCTAAATACTCTGTGACAATTTTCACATTTATTCCTATAGATATCTCAGCATTGAATGATAAAAGGTTGGTTTGTATTTCACAAATATATTGTTGGGTTTATAGTGTATATATCATTTTACTTTACTGAACCAACTGTACCACTAGTAGTTCAATCCTTTATTCATGGATTTTTAAAAAAAAATTTTATTGAGTTAATGATAGGTTACAATCTTGTGAAATTTCAGTTGTACATTATTGTTTGTCAGTCGTGTTGTAGGTGCACCACTTCACCCTTTGTGCCCACCTCCCACCCTGTCTTTCCCCCGGTAGCCACTAATCTGTTCCCTCTGTCTATATTTTTAAATTCCTCATATGAGTGGAGTCATACAGAGATTGTCCTTCTCTATCTGGTTTATTTCACTTAGCATAATTCCCTCAAGGTCCATCCATGTTGTTGCAAATGGGACGATTTTGTTCTTTTTTACAGCTGAGTAGTATTCCATTGTATATATATACCACATCTTCTTTATCCAATCATCTGTTGATGGGCACTTAGGTTGCTTCCATGTCTTGGCTATTGTACCTAATGCTGCAATAAACATTGGGGTGCATAGGACTTTTGGAATTGCTGACTTCAAGCTCTCTGGATAGATACCCAGTAGTGGGATAGCTGGGTCATATGGTAGTTCTATTTTTAATTTTTTGAGAAATCACCATACTGTTTTCCGTAGTGGCTGCACCAGTTTGAATTCCCACCAGCAGTGTATGAGGGTTCCTTTTTCTTCACAACCTCTCCAACATTTGTTACTATTAGTTTTAGATATTTTTGTCATTCTAATGGGTGTAAGGTGATATCTTAGTGTAGTTTTGATTTGCATTTCCCTATTCATGGATTATTTTTTAAGACCCGTAATGTGCCTGTAATATGCTAGGGACCGAGACCTCAGAGGTGAATAAGGCATATTACTTCTTTCAAGGAATTTATAATCCGCTGGGGATACACACAAGTGAATAAGCAATTATAGAATAGCAGTTGCTGTTGCAGGAAAAATGCAGTAGGAATACACATACTTGCCGTGCAGGGGAGGGCAAGTGGTCCAGGGAAGGCGCCATAGAAAAAGGAGAATTTAGCAAAGTCAAGGGGAGTGGATTTCCTGCAGTGGAAATAACATGATAGTAGAGTTGAGGGGGTCTTGGAGTATTAAAATTGGAAAGAAAAGTGATAAGAAATGAGACTTGATGGTTAAACTGACACCAGATCATGTCCCTTAATATACCATATTAAGAAGTTTGGATTTTATCTTGTGGATAATGGGAACAAATGATAGATTTTAGAAAGAGAATGGCTTGATTGCATTTGTACTTGAGAAAAATACTTCTAGCTGTAACGTGAAGAGTCAATTGGAGAGTTTACTGCTTTCAGCTTTTTTGAGTGTGGTTGGTTTTCCTGAGTAAATTAAATGGTAATCTCATGGGAAAAACAACAATCCGTAGAAATATTGACCTTAGTGTTGTTAGATAAAGAGTCAAAGAGTGGTAAACCAGTTGGGAAGAAGGGTAACATAGTTGTTAGGAGCAAAGTCTGGGACCAGCTGCCTGAGTCTGCATTCCCGACACTACCACTTCCTAGCTTTGTGTCTTTGAGCAAGTTATTTAATCTATTTGTGCTTCAGTTTCCTCTTTAAGTGGGAATCATAGTAGTATGTAACTCAGGGCTAATGTGAGGATTAAATACGTGTGTGTGTGTGTGTGTGTATGTAAACATTTGGAACAGAGTGTCTGCAATTTTGAGAATGACTAGGGCAAATTTAGGAAGAAAGAAAGAATAACTTAGCTGTTCTGCATCTTTACCTCCTTAGCTAAACAGTGATTTGTCATTATATAACGGTTCTCATATACGTAAGCAAAAACACTGTCATATTTGCACATGACCCTAAAAGAAAATAAAAAGAGTCATTTATTTCTATGGGCTGATTTTCTTTGTAAATTTGTTAAATATTCATCTTATAAAATCCATATTACAATATGGTTCATATTAGAAATCCGTTCTTTTTTTTCTTTCCTGTTTTGAATCCTTAGCAGCAGGATATGTTGAACACAGAGATTTAAGTAAGACAGACTTTGTTTTAGACTTGGTATTCTTATCTGTAAAACATGAATAATAAAGATCAAACTTGTAGGTTTTTTTTCTGAGAATTAAGATAACATTTTACATAGTTCTTAACACGCAGTAGGCACTTCTAATTTGTTTTTCTCTGCCCATTTAAGACTTTTTCTAAAGGTCAAATAATGAATGTAAATAAAAATGCTTTTTTAAATTATAAAATCATATATACATATATTAGTTATTATTACAAATTTTTAGTAAAGTGTTATTTTGATAATGGCAAATTTAACAGCCTCTGGTAGGTGGCTGATCAAGGGTCTACAAAATAAATGTCTTAGATATTTAAAACTATTAAATCAATAAGAAGTTGTAAATATTTATCTTTTATTTAATTATTGTCAAAATATATTGACAGTTTTGCAATATAACCTTGCTTTTGACCTAACAGCATTACTATTACAATTATCATTATTATAAAAGTTATGAGACCATTAAACAGAATTCTATTTTATTGGTATGTAACAGTCCTTTGTCTCTTGGCTTTGTAGATTTTAATTGAATTAGAAACAGCATTATTAGATGATGAACCACATTGGTACAAACTTCAGACCCATGATGTCTCTTCATTGCCACTTCCCCACCCTTCTCCATATATGCCTCGACGACAGCTCCATGGAGAGAGCCCAACACGCAGGTTGCAAAGTAAGTTTTCAGTAAAATTTCTCACACCTTTATTGAATTATCTTGACTGATATATATGACATAGAATTTGAAGATACTATTATGGGTATTAACAGGCATCTATTAGTGTTTTCATAGGTATTGAAGCTTTTAAATTGTTTGATATGCTTAAAATGAGGTTATACTAATGGCATTCATTCATCACAGTATGACCCGAAATGATGCGCAGTTATGTTTTAATTTTAGCTCTTAGAATCTTAAATATAGGATGAGATAGCTAATATAGTAGAATTTTGTCATGTAGCTGTAGATATCTGAAATTATGATTTCCACCTTCATTATGCCAAGTACTTTATGAATACGTGGGCTATAGCAAAGTGGTTGAAACCAAGACCATAAACATTGCTCAGACAAACCAGTTTAAATTTTGACTCTCTCGCTTAAGAGCTGTATGACTTTAGGTGGGTCGTTTCTCTATGTTTCTCTTTCCCCCTTTAGAAAATGGAAATAATGATGCCTACATTATAGGATGGTTATAAGAGTTAAATAATCTCAGTAATATAAACTGATGTTGTTTTTGTTGTTGTTATTATTATTATTAGTGTTTGCATTTTACTGTGAATTATGCATAGTCCAAACTATAAAATAGAATTCGGGAAGTGAGATTGCTTTTTTAGATGGCAAAATACCTTACGTATTAATATAGTTTTATTTTTGATTCATTGATGAGAAACTTTATTCATTACTTTCCCGAAACATAAAGAGATTGTTTTTGAAAGAGTATTTTGATGTATAAATTTTTATTTTTATATATTCTTTTCCTTTATTCAGTTAAAGTTCCATAGCGTCTTAAGGGAAAAAAATCTTCCTTTTTAAATATGACAGAAGTTATTTTATAATTTGTTTACTACTTGATATCTTATTAACCATTATTATCACAATTTGAACTATAAAAATCCATCAGCGTTTTATTTTTTTGGTCCTTCATTCTTTTTTTGTCTTATATCAAACAGATTCATCTCTTTGACTTCTCAAATGTTAATTCTTTACTTAGTAAAATGTAATATTATCACCCTTTTCACTTTTTAAAATAGAAAACATCATATCTATTATATTTTCATTCATCCTCATGACTAAAATTCTTCAAAGAAAAGTGAATGGAAACAAATCATTGAGACAAAGCTAAAATGATGCTGTTGAGAGGTATAAGATAAAAAAGACATGATTTCATAATTAAAGTTTCTCACGATTTCAGCTTTTTGGAGGGATTTTTTGGTCAATGTTACTTCCAATTCTCTACCCCATTCTCTTACTTCTCCCTCTCTTGGACTGCAGTTACGTGTATGAAGACCTCTTGATATTGTTCCATAGCTTTTTGAGTCTCTATTTTTAAATCTTTTTTCTCTTCCTAAGGTTTGAGTATTTTTCTTCAACTGTCTTCAAGTTGACTGATATTTTCTTCTACGATATCCAGTTTTCTGTGAAAACCATACTGTGAATTGTCCTATTAAAGATATTGTTAATTTTAAGATTTACATTTGGTTTTCTTAGTTTTTGTATCCTTCCTGATACCCATTCTTTTATTATGTCTGTGTGTATGTATAAACACATATATGTGTATAAATGTAAATATATTTAAGAATTTACAGAATTATACATACATTACATATGTATATGTATATATATAGAATCCTGTAAATTCTTTAATCTATTTATAGTATTTAATTTAAAGTCTGCTAATTCCAACAACTTGGTCTTCTGTGAGTCTACTTACGTTTGTTTTTTCCTTTGATTATGGAACACATTCTGTGTGTTTTATATATCTACTAATTTTTGTTGTGTACCAGACATGATGTTTAATACGTTTTAGAGACTCTGGATTTGGAAGAATGTTACATTCTATATTAGCAGACAATGAAATTACTGAAGGACCACCTACAACCTATGGAAGATAGAGTAGAGTGTTTCTGTTTTGACTCTTCCATAGTTCTAAGGCATAGTCCTTAGTCTGGTTTCTGATTCTTATTTCTAAGATGTGAACTTTCTAGGCAAAGTCCAAGATGTTGGCCCAAATCCTGTAATATAGTGAGACAAACTCCAAACTCTCTGTCCTGTGCATCAGGAAGTTGCTGAAATCCCCTTGCAGCTCTTTTAGCCTTTTAGCTGTGGCTTTCTGGTGGGTTTCTTCTTGTTTTTCCCTCTGCAGTTTGCAATTCAGGCAAGGATTTGAGGGGCTATTGTGTGTAATTTGGGGTCTCCTCCTTCTCTTGCTCTCTGCTTTCCAGGATTTCCCTTACAATTCTAGCTGCTCTAACAACTCTGAATTCTGATCTCTGGGTCCTCAGCCTTGTAAGACTGAGGCTTTTTGCTTGAGCTGTAACTCTTCTGCAGTGAACCAAATTGAGAAGGCCCTTAGGGGAAAAGCTGTTTAAATATGTGCTTTTCTTATTTCAAGAGTCATCTCACCAATTTCTGCCTGCATTTGTTTGTTCTCTGGTGTCTTTAAACAGTTTTTTTAATTAAAAATATTTTGTCCAGATTTTTAAATTATTACTGGCAGGAGATATAATCTATATTTTGATATAAGCTACTCTACCATTCTCAGAAGCAGAAGTCTACATTTTTAAGTATACTTTTTACTGACTTATAGCGTTTATACAGAAATGTGTATAAATCATAAATGTACAACCAGGTGAATTTTCACCAAGTAACCACACTATGTAACTAGCACTTGCATCTAGAGATGGAACATCACCAGCCTTCCTCTTACTGTCCTCCACTAATTATTCCCTCTGCCAAGGTGACAACTATGCTGACTTCAAATACCATAGAATAGTTTTATTTTTTAACTTCATATAAATGAAATACACACACATATGAATTTTATAGAAATGAAATTACACAATATATTACTCTTTCACATCTGGCTTTTTTTTCTTACCACTGTGTGTATGAGATTCATCGATATTGCTCCGTATAATTACAGTTTATTTTCATTGCTACATACAATTCCTTTCTATAGATATACAAAAATGTATGCATTCTACAGTTGATTAATAGTTTGCTTTCAGATTTTGGCTCTTCCTAAGAGTGTTGCAATGAACATTCTTATACATGCCTTTTGGAAATCAGATGTGGTCATTTTTACTTTAAATATGCCTAATAGTAGAATAGATAGATAATAGGCTATGCATGTATTCAGTTGCAGTAAATATTGATAAGCAATTTCCAAAACTGCACCAATTTATACTTCCCTACAGCAGTGAATAAAGGTTTTAGTTTCTCTACATCCTAACATAATTTTGGTGTTTTAATGCTTTTTATCCACCTGTCTAGGTGGATGTGCAGTGCTATCTCATTATGGCTTCAATTCGCGTTTGTCTAACAAACTTTTTCATTGCTTAACTGACCATTTATATCTCCTCTTTTATGAAGAGCCTATCAAATTTCTAGCCCATTTTTCTTTTAGAGTCTGTCTTTTTTTGTTGATTTATGAGTAGTTTCTTTTTTTGAATTATAGATTTGAATTCTTTATATGATATGTGAATTGCAAATGTATTCTGCTCTATGGCTTGGTATTTCACTCTTTAATGAGATCTTTTGATCAACAGAAGTTTTTAATATTAACGTATTTTAGTTTTCAATTTTTTCTTTAGGATTAGTGCTTTTTTGGTGTGATCTGTAAAAAAATCTTTGTCTTCTTCAAGGTCATAATGATATGTTCCTATTTTTCTTCTAGAATAGAGCTTTACTCTTTTCATTAAATCTAAAATTCATGTGGAATTGATTTTTGTATTTTGTGCAAGGTGGGGATCAAAATTCATTCTTACCCTGTGGATGTCCGCTTGATCCAGCATATTTATTGTAAAGGCTACATAGCATGTGATTAATTTCTGAACTCTATTCCTTTCAATTAGACAACTTTTCTATTCTTGTGCCAATACCAAAGTGTCTTTGTTACTATAACTGTATAATAAATTGTGATATCTGATAGTGTAATTAACCCAGCTTTGTTCTTCTTCAAGACTGTTGTTTCTATTCTTAACCTATTGCACTTACAAATAAATTGAGTATCAAATGATTATTTTCCACAAATACTCTTCTGGGATTTTGATTCAAATTACATTGATCAGTCTAGGGAGAACTGAAATTTTTCCCTGGAGTGGAGAGAATTCGATATATATTCTATGAATATTCCAAGAATTCCATGAATCTGATATATCTTTAAATAATATTTTAATAGATTTCAAGGTGGAGGTTTCGCATCTTTATTAGATCTATAACTAGGAATTTGGTTTAAATTGATGCTGGTATACTGAAATAAAATTTATTATTTATTATTATTCAATGAATCATAACAACATTTCCATACATTATTTTGAAATTTGATGTACAACATTGTGTCATTTGTGATTAATGACAATTTATCCTCTTTCTTTCAAATTGTTGTACCTTGCTCTTCCTTGTCTTACTTGATGCTTTGGCTAGGTCCAATGATAAAATGCTGAGTGTAAGTAACTTTGTTGAGTAGAAGTTAGCATCCATGTTTTGTTCCCCATTCCTTGAGAAAAGCTTGAAATATTTCCCCACTACCTTTGATATTTGCTCTAAATTTCTGTTTGCTTAGATTCAGGAAGGTATATTTTATTCCTAGTTTGATGAAAGTTTTTAATTATCAGTGGATGTTAAATTTTATCAATTTTTTTCTGTATATATGTATGTAACTGTATGGCATTTCTCTTTTATTCTATTGATGTGGTAAATTGCATTGATTTTCAAATGTTAAAGTGATCTAGTGTTCCTGTAATAAACTCAGCTAGCTCATGATGCGTTATTTCTTCCTCTCTGGATTCAATTTGCTGATATTATGTGTAGAATTTTAGCATCTGTATTCAGGAGAGAGAGAGAAAGATTGTCTTTAATTGGCTTCTGTTATTAATGTTATGTGGCCTTCATAAAAAGTATTAGAAAATGTTCCTTCTTTTATTATTTGATGACTTTTATTTTCCTTCCTGTAATAT